TTGTTGTTGTTTGAGGAGCAGCTCGGTCACACACTAATGTCATTAGTTTGTTATTATTACTAAGGTGCAGGACTGATTTTTTCTTTTTTTTTTTTCACATCATGTCTCCTGCCTGGATCTGTTATTATCTCACTCTGAAGCAGGGAGGAGTGTCACTGGTAAGCTTGCTTCAACTGCTGTTTAYGATGTGGTCTCATTTCTGGACTCAAGCATTTTGTGAGCCGATATTTCAGTTAAAATACATAAATAAAAATATTTATCCGAGTATAGTACTACCCCTCAACTGTATGGATGATTTTATGGATTTAATTTTACGTATTATACTTGAATAAATACAGTAGCTATACTGAATAGATGAAAACAAGGATCCTTTGTCGGAAACAAATCAAGCTGTCAACCAAAAGTGGAGACAAACCCTGAGTAGTACCAACTGAACTGATCACAGTAACTATAAAACCATATTTAGGTCCCCAGTTTATCTACTATCGCAACTGATGTTTGTTTAAAATTGTTTCCAAGCTCCAAAAAGTTTGTTGAGTCCCCACTTACTTTTTCTGTTTCGATGTGGACGACATCTTTGGCCTCAGGGTTTTCCTCCCACAGTGGGGGTCCCGATGGGTCTTTCAGAAATGCTACCATAGACTGAATGAAGACAAAGTAAAGAAAGTTACGGGTCAGATTGAGACTAACAGCATTTCCAAACAAAGGCCTCGTTTCAGACTCAGTGCTGTGGACAACAGAGTGGTGACTGGTGATAAATGTGAACATTGCAGAAATCACTCCTAAATTAAATTCCAGGCAATTGAGGCTCATGCAGATTAACTTGTTAATGTGTCTAAGTTATTTCAGCACCTTTAAGTGTCTTGTAATGGGTTTGCTGTAAATATAATGAGCCATATGTCTGTGGAGGCAACAGGAGGAGAGATTTCATGCAGCAGAGYGATAAGAATGACGCATGAACATGGCAGAATATTTAATGATCTTGAATTTATTATCGGAACCATTTTGTAATGGTTTATACTGAGAACTGGGGAGTTGTATTGTCTCAGATGTCATTAAACCTGGTACAAAAGTAAGTTTCAGATCTTGCAAAACATTTCAGAGGTGCAATCATTTCTCTTTTGAGCCAACATAAAGACATTACTTTTTGATTTTATCACATAAAGATTGGATCACTGTAATAAATCTCCTCCCTGGTCTTGCAAAGAAAAACACCAGCTGGTAAAAACCACAAAGAAAGCACATATTACACTAGTTTTATCTTTGCACAGGCTACTTGTTGCTTTAAATTAATTTTAGGCTCTTATCAGCTTATAAAAAATTCTCAGTGGTATTTTTTAGTTGTATAAAAGTTGTTTTATTCAATTGAAATATTGTACTGGACTTCTGATGATGGSTTTTTAATTATTTTCACAGTGAGACCTGAAATACAATGATGGCTATGGCCCACATGTGAAAGGATCTAAAGAGAGGCTAAAGACAGATTAATAAGTTTTTGAAATTTTTCTAAGATTAGCTCAAGAATCTTTTTTTAGATCATTATCTGGGTCATTTTATATGAAATTCAGTAGCTGTGTTTCCATTGCAAATGTGCGCAAAACTTTGTCGATATTCTGTTAATGTTGAAAAAACACAGTTTCACAACTGCAGTGTTTCCATTAAGTAAGAAATGTTATTAAAGTCACGTGAATACGTTTGTTCTCATGATAAGTCATTACAAACATGGCGGCGGTGAGGTTAGTTTAGGGTCAGGTAGGTACCTGTGAGGTTAGTTTAGGGTCAGGTAGGTACCT